CCCGTGATGGAGCTGGACCCTACCGTCGCGCCGCGGAGGCCATCGCTGCCGCCGTGGCGCCGGCTGCTACTGCTGCTGTTGCTGTGGTCGGGGCCGGCCCTGGGCGAGCGCCCTATCGGCAGCAGCCTGCGCGGGGCGCTCCGCGACCTCCCGTCGGAGCAGCAGTTGCTGGAGGTGGAAGACCTCTCCTTGACCCTGCTGCAGGGCGGAGGGCTGGGGCCGCTGTTGCTGCCCCCGGACCTGCCGGACCTCGACCCCGAGTGCCGGGAGCTGCTGCTGGACTTCGCCAACAGCAGCACGGAGCTGACGGGGTGCCTGGTGCGCAGCGCCCGGCCGGTGCGCCTCTGCCAGGCCTGCTACCCGCTCTTCCAGCAGGTCGCCGGCAGGATGGACAACATCAGCCGGGCCGTGGGGGTGGGTGAAGACGCACGTCCCGGGCCCGTGGCGTGGGAGGGTGGGGACGCGGGGACGTGTCGTGGCGGTCAGCTCTGGGGCCTCCGTGTGCCCAGCCGTGCGACAGAGGGGTCGCACTGGCTCTGCGGAGTTTGGGGCATCAGACAAAAGGGTGGCACTAGGGAACTTGGGGTCTGCATCTTTGCGTCTGTGCGTGCGGTTGGACCTCTCGGCGCACATGTGCGGATGGGGTGATGGTTTTCTTGGGGGTCCTGCTCCCCTCGCCCCGTCTTCCCCTTCCTCCTCCTCCCGCCGTTCCGCCCCGGCTACTTGTCCTGTCCGCCTGGAGTCCCCGGGATGGACCCTCTTCTGAAACTACAAGTGGAATGGAGGAGCAGGCCGTGGTGAGGAGTTTGAGCTCTGTGGCTAGAAAGGTTGAGGTCCATCTGTTTCTTGCATGTGGCCTTGGATTCATGATCAGAGACTGTTTCCTCCTCTCTAAAATGGAAAAAAGAAGTTGCCCGATGTGGCTGTTAAAAGAGACCCTGGCTGGGAGCTCATCTTAGTGATTTGGGCAGTCTGGGCTTAGAAGGCCAGGAGTCAGTTCCCCGCTGTTTATGGGGGCGGGGGGTGCGCGCTGGGCAAGCCATGGGATCCTCTGTGCCTGTTTTTGCATCTGTAAAATGGAGGTAAAAAGAGACCTGGGAAAACTGGCACATAATAAAAGCTCTCAGCAAGCAGGAGCTGAAATGTTGGGATGTGGCAAGTCTGCCCTTCATTCTTGGTACCTCCAAGAATGAGAGCTTTTCAGGTCATGTGGTGTGTGCTATGAAGGACTTAACAAAGAAGAAGGCACAGTCCTGCTTTTAAGTGCATTGTAGGGTTTAGAGTAGGAAAGGATTAGTGTCAGGACTGGTGGGAGTCACGAGGTGTGGGCCGGATGTGCTGGGGAAAGGGAAAACATGAGAAATGATGTTGGGGTCCAGAGTGGGAGAGTTCCTCTTGTATTGGGGGGACAGTGAGTCATCTCCCGAAAGCATGACTGGGGTTATTTCATAAATCACAGTTGATTTGACGGAATAGAAATAGCCACATCCCGCTTCCAATCGGCCTGATGTTACTTAACACAAATTGTTATTTTATGTAAATTGGGGATTGATTTGCATTAAATTCTATGATCAATCTTTCTGCAAGTAACTAGTTTTCAAGGTAGTTTAAATAAATCTGGACTTACATGCAGTACTTTCTAGGCATACTTCCATTAGGTTTGCACAGGAGACACAGATATAGATATGTCATAGTAAGATATATATGTGTATATGTATAGTAAGATATCTCTGTATCTTACTGTGACTTTCACATAAAGTACTCAAGTCTTGTGCCTGTCAGCTACAGCAGGATATGATATGGCATCATATTCAGTTAAGGCGAGTTGTTTTTCAGGTGTCATTTACTCCAAAGAGCAATTGCTATTGTCTGCAGGATGACCATGAATTACAAAGCAATGCTTGGCTCATTTGAGGTAGCAAATGCTTTCCTCATTTGTGCAGGTTCTGTGGAATTAAAAAGAGTTGAAAATGATGAACTCCAACTCTAGTGTATAGTATTATGGGCATCACTCTGTGTATGTATTTCCACAGGAATTTTCCACAGCCCAGGGGAGGTCTCCCACTGTAGGAGTTGCAAAACTTCCTTCCTCTCCCTCAGATCAACCTGGGCACCCTGGTTTGAAAGGAAGAGGGTGATGAGGTGTGGAAGGCAGGAAGAGCCTCTCCCAATTTGCATTTCCTCTCCTACTCATTCTGGATCTTGGTCTCTGTTTTCTTCCTTTCCCCAGCAGACCTGTATGTGGTGCATTAGCTCAAAAGCATGATTTATTTTTTATTTTTTTCAGTCTAGAAAATATAGTTTATTTAAAAAGTAAATTAGAGCGAAATAGAAAGAGGGGATTCACCTTCCCAAGGCAGGAGGGGGGCCAAAGCCAGGAAACATGGTGGTGGCCATGACTCAAAGGGCACACGGCCATACCAGAGTCTAGTAAGGCAGTGGCGGCCGGCTGCTTGTGGTTGAGTCCTTTTAATCCTTCTCTTTGACGTGGGAAGGTCACTTAGGTGACTGAGTGGTAGTCTGCTGCGCGTCATCACAAAGGGGCAGGTAAACACAGGTACTGACATCAGATGATGGACAGCAGGCAGATGCGTGATTTAGTCACATGATTGCTGCCATGGTGGTGAGGTCTGTGTCAAGAAGGTCAAGAAGGGCTGATTAGTTTAAGTAGGATCTTATGGGTGAAGGCAAATACTTGAAATAGAAAAGCTAATTAGTAACAAGCTGGGGAGGGGGTTCTAAAGCAAGTATCAATGACTACCTGATAGAAAAACTTGTCCTTAGTTAGTGATTAGAGGGTAAGTTAAATGAACTGCTAGAAAAACATGAGATTTAGACAATATTAAAATGGCTGCTCATTGGGTATATTAAATCCGTGTTATGCCCTTTCATTTCCCCCTCTTGTTATTTTAAAAATTCTTATTTGTACCTGGGAACAGAGATGAGGGTCAGGTCTTCTGTAGCTGCTTCCTGCTGAACAGGGGTCGTAGAGCTGTCCCTACCTGCCTAGAGTAAGAGGAGAGGATGAGAGGACAGAAGCCATGGAGTTGCTAAGTATCACATGATTTCTAGAGTTCCAAGGAACTTTATGGACATAAAAGGCTTTCATGAGCTAGTTGGAGAATTGACCCATCGTGTGTATTAATGAATGTATGGGAAAATGTGTCCCGAATTTCTTATGAGTAAATTTGAAGAAATCAGTTGTCTTTTGGGGAGGTTTATTTCTCCAGAGTAATGAATTTTCTTTGACTCAGACTCAATCTTTTGTTTAAATCAGTGAAATGTGCAGGCACCTACTGTTCTTAAGTATTGGACTGGCCAAAGGATATAGAAGGAAAAGGAGGGTGAGGTCCAGACTTCAAGCTGTCAGTACAGTGGGGGAAATAAACCTATATCAAGAAAAAGGAAACATCGCCTGCATGCATGTCATACATTGTACAGCAGTAACTTAGAGCAAAGGGGTGACAAGGATGTCAAGTTTACAGGAGGGAGAAGAGCCAGGCTACTGACCAGAGAAAACCCACAGGCTGAATCTTGACATTTTCTTGCCATCTTTAGGGTAACTGGACATGGGTTGATTGAGCTCAGAGTAAATGAGCATCACTAGGAGAAAGAAGAAACTGAGGTAGAAGCTAGTAAGCAGTTGATGTGGTACAAACGAATTCGTGTAACTGTAACAGAGTTCTCTGATGAGAATCCTGTGTTGTTGTCACTTCTGCTTAGAATTCCTGGGACAAGGACCAGATAGTTTTATTATCTCAAAGTGAAGAACACCTGAAACCTGAATGGTAGAACCCATGGATTCCTTCTTCCTTAGAGTCATACTTTTTCCTTTGTTTTCAACTAATAGGGACATGGTTTCATCGAGCTGTTTAGCATCAGAGTGGTTTTGAGGATGCTTTAGCACTCTCAAATTCTGAATTGGCAAGCTCTGTCCTATTTTACTTGCTTTGTTTAATATTTAGTTAGACATATCTATGTCTATATACAGAGGGGGCTGGAAAATGTATGCACATTGTAAGAAAGGAAAAAGATATACCAGTAGCAAAAGTTGAATACAAGTCACGTTTGATTTCTGCATTACAAGAGGCACTCAAAGTGGTTATCAGCAGCATCCAGACACTTCAGAAAGGACTTCAAAAAGTAATATGTAGATAACATCTCTTTAAAAATGTGTATACATTTTTTGGCAACCCTGATGGATACATATATACATACATATGTGTGAAGATGCTACTCGTTCGGGTTATGTATCTACTGAGTATTCAGTATACTTTTAATGTAGATTAATAAATAACAAATTCTTAGGAATATGACATATGCTCATTGTAGAAAATTTAGACAAGATAAAAGAAGCAAAGGTGAAAATAAAATCCCCATGTTTCTGTTACCCAGGGGCAGCCACTGCTCTGTTGTAGTGAGTTGCTTTCTAGAATTTTTTCTGTGCATAAAAAGTGAGAAATATGACCCACAATGTGGACCTACGTAGTTGAGATTGGACTATATAAAAGCAAATATAGGGCTGGGCATGATGGCTCACACCTATAATCCCAGCACTTTGGGGTGGAGGTGAGAGGGTTACATGAGCTCAAGAGTTCAAGACCAGCCTGGGCAACATAGTGAGACCTTGTCTCTACAAAAAAATTTAAAAATTAGCTGGGTGTGATGGTGTGTGCTTATAGTCCCATCTACTCGGGAGGCTGAGGCAGAAGGATCATCTAAGCCCAGGAGGTCAAGGCTGCGGTAAACCATAAATGCACTGCTGCACTCCCACCTGGGTGACACTGAGACCCTAACTCAAAAAAAAAGAAAGCAGATATTTAAGAAGCATAGATTTTCTTCCCTTGCAGGTGATGCTGCTACCAATAAATGTTAGCTGCTAATTGTATTATTACCATTGTAATTATTAATGCCATCATTATCTGATTATATCAAACAACATATTAAAAGGTTTATAATAAATATTTAAATTATTTTTATAAGGTTTTTGCCTCAAGTTGTTTGGAAAGTCTAAAAATACTCAATTTATATTTTTCTATCTTCTTTGTCTTACAGAATTCTTCAGAGGGCCAGAGTTGTGCCAGAAGTCTTTTAATGGCAGATAGAATGCAGATAGTTGTGATTCTCTCTGAGTTTTTCAATACCACATGGCAGGAGGCAAATTGTGCAAGTAAGTCAATTTCATTTTGCAGTTGTGTTTCAGTAGTGTAGATGTCACTTTTTATTTCAGTGAATTTTAGAACCTTTGAAGCTGGATAATACTGTTTATTACAACATGGTTTATTGGTGATAACTTTGGGCAAATATTGAAAGGCAGAAAAGTATATCAGTTAATATGAGCTTTGGAGTCAGACGGACATGAGTTTGATACTAAGCTCTGCCATTTACTAGTCTTCACTTACAAACTGTCATATTTGGGGGAAGTCACTTTGCCTCTTAGAACTTTGGTTTTCTCATCTGTAAATTGGTGGCAATGGTAGCACCTATCATATATGATTGCTCTGAGAATAAAATGAAATAAATTGTATAAAACATGTAGCTCAATGTGTGACACATCTTTGACATTCAAGAAATGTGAACTATTTAGTATAATAATAATTATGATGTTTATCATGATCTGTCAGGTGGTATTGTGGGGGTGGAGTAGTAACATCCATTCTAGTTTTGTAGGTTTGTGTGTGATTATGTAATAAAATGAGATATATATTTAGATATTCTTTGGAAAAAATAAAATCACTTTTCCAATTCAGATGCATTTTGAATACCAACTATGTGCTAGGCAGTTGTTATTGTCCAAGTCTTATAATTTAGTGAGAGAGAAAGATATATTTACATATATAACCCAGGTGAGTTATATACACGCTTTCTAAGGTTATAGAGTTCTTTTTTTTTTTTCCTTTGAGTTGGAGTCTCACTTCGTTGCCCAGGCGGGAGTGCTGTTGCATGCTCACGGCCACCCCTGTATCAGCCAGCTGGGTTCCAGTGATCCTTCTGCTGCAGCCTTCCAAGTAGCTGAAGCTACAGGTGCACACTACCGTGCTTTCTATTTTTTTTTTTTTTTTTTTTTTTT